AATCCTTACATGATATATTTTACTGATTTTGAGAGTGAGAAACATCAATTGGTATGCGTTCTGGCCAGGGATCGAACTTGCCACCTTTTGGTGTATGGGACAGTGCTCCACCCAAGCTACCTGGCCAGGGCTCCACTTCTGCTTTTAATGTAACGCTGGGCAAATGAGCCCCCCCCCCCCCTCATTTTCTATATATAAATAATGGTCAACATTACCTATCATAACTGGTTTATAGAAATTAAGATGATACAAACTTTAAGAGATGTAAATGCATTTCAAATTTAGGTATTTTAATTGAAGTAAATGCTGCATGAAGTACATGTAGCCATCTGTAGACAAATTTCTATAACAAAGCTGTTTATTTTTCTCCCCAGAGGATGTTGTCATTTTGCCTCATCCAGTAGTACCCCGACACTTTATTGACTTGTAGATGAATAACGTTTAGATGAAAGTGGTATATGGACTGCCAAGAGCAGTATAGTCAAAGCTTTCTGTCCGAAGCAAAGTAGACTTTGAGAATACTAAGGTCCTAGTCAATTTGAGTTTTCTACAGGCCTGGGGAAAACAAAGTTGAATCACAGAGCTATCAGCTTTTTTTATATATACCCCTTTTTGTTTTGTATATTTTTTCCCATCAACAGAGCTCTCAGCTTTAAGTGCCAAAGTCTGAACTGTTTAAAGCACTAACCAAATGGGAAGTTGCGGTTCTTTGTGCTAAAATTGAAGCACTGGTCCTACTGAAGAGCCTTGGGAACGTAGGCTGAAATGGGAAGCTCGGGTGAATTTTATATACCTAATTTTGATCAGCAGATTTGAAGAATTTTCTTGTGACTGCCACATAAAATAACCCCTGCTTAAAAACTTAACTCATTCTTCATTGCATTCTACACCCTTCTCTTCAAAATTGTAATTTTATAATTTCTGGTTTAAACTAACTTCTATATTTCTCCACTGTCTTCTGGGTCCTCAGTATGCTTACCAAGGCCTTGGCTGAGCCGCTTTCTTCAGAACCCACCCTCAGAACTTTTTGCAGTTCTCTGTCCACTTGTTGCTTCTCAAGGCCGTAAGGCCATCTTTTAAGACTTGGCTTTGGCTCATCTTCTGTTCCCCTGCTGTACCTCTATGATTCTGACAAGTGCAAGCTACTCTGTGTTGGCACATTTTCTTAACAGCTTGAAAATTGGAATCTTGTTGAAATACGTGGTGGTGGTGGGTATATGGTTGATCATTGTATTTTTTGTTTGCTTGAAAGTGATCATAATTAAAAGTCTTATTTTTTTAAAGCAATAGCATGCTACTTATTTTGCTTTAATTCTGAGTTCTTTATCTCTGAAAATTCTAAGATACTTGTACAACAGTCTTGGTCAGCAAGCATTTGAGACACCCACCAGAGACCAGGTACCTGCTAGGTATCCAAGAGAACTCAAAGATGCAGAAGATGTAGCAGCTGCTACCCTCAGGTAGTTCACAAAGTGAACCTCAAACCCTCCAGAGGAAGACGGTCATGTTGCTGTTTCAGTCCCTGCTTGCTTAAAGAAGTGGGAATGCAGGGGAGCAGAAGTAGAGATCTCAATAGAAGATCAGAAATACATTTTGAAAGGGAAAAGTGAAGTGCAATTAGAGTTTATAGAAGAGAAATCCCTCTTGCACTATCTGTGAAAAGAGACTGCACGCTGAGGAAAGTAGAAAACGGCAGAGCAGCAGCAGAGACCTACCTCTTAGCAGGTACATTACACTGTGTCCCATATCCCCACCCTGAAACTGCTCTCCCAACATCCTTTGAGTTTTGGCAATTTGGTGTTCACCAGGAGAGCCAGGCTGAACCATAGAAGGAAGTGTAGGTAAGCCATCACATGAATTCTTAGGGCCTCAAAACCTGCCTTCCTAACCTGAGACAAGAAGCAGAGAAGGCCCTGGTTTCTATCAGGGGTAAATGTGTCTGACTCCAGCAAGAGGTGGTCAGATGACAAATGCATCTATTTATATCCTATAATCTGCTGGGTCAGCAACATACTAATAACCAGCAGCCATGATGGCGAGGCCACAAACTGACTGTCAGAATGGGAGGTCCCTGCACTAGCGGTCAGAGAAATAATACACACGAAAGTTGCATAAGCCAAAAAGTACTATATAAGTATCCTTGCTGCTGTTATGAGCTGGTTTCATTGTTCATGTCCTTGGACAAGTCAGCACGTGCCTTCTCTAAGCCTTCATTTCTTCATCTACAAGATGGAAATAATTGTTTATCTCATTGGGCTCTTGGAAACTCATCATTTATGCAAGAATTTCTTATAAACTGAACAAGTATCAAGTATTACTCAAAGTCTGTTATACTTAAAACGGGAAGACCCAAGAGTTATGTATTGCAGGGGAGAAGTCTCGGAGGCATTAGGGAACCTTCTGTGGTAGCCACCAGCCAGCCATTTACCAGACCCATTTCTCTTATCTCTGGGAACATAACTAGACTATATTCCTCAGCCTTCCTTGTAGTTAGAGGTGACTGAGTTCGAGCCAATGGAATGGTGGTGGTGGTAACGCACACCACATGGAAGCCTGGTCCATAAAAATGAAGTTGTCAGTGCCCTATTCTGACCCCCTCTATTGATGCAGACTAACAGTAATCTTGGGAGCCAGGTGTTAAGATACAGAAGCTATAAGGTAAAAAACCTGGTGCTCTGAAACACCACCACTGGCTTGGAGGACAGCTATCCACTAATCAGGAACATCCATTTTGGACATTATAGAAAAAGAAAGAAATTTTTGTTACCGTTGGGTTATTATGTTAGCTTGAACCATGAAATTGCTGATATTTTTTTACCTGTAAAAATGTAATATGCTTCAACCTAATATTTTTATTTGTTTCAGCAGCTAGTGTAACCTTAAACGATTTTAGAGAAAGTTTTTTAAAATTATTATTTGTTTGTTTTTCAACATTTTTTAAATCCTCACCTGAGGATATTTTTCCATTGATTTTTAGAGAGAGGGAAAGACAAGAGAGAAATATTGATTTGAGAGACACCGATTGGTTGCCTCCTGCACGCGCCCTAAACCCTACAACCGAGGTATGTGCCCTTGACCGGAATCAAACCCAAGACTCTTCAGTTCACAGGCCGACACTCTATCCACTGAGCCAAACCGGCTAGGGCGAGAAAGTCTTTTTTTTTAAAATCCTCACCCATGTTGAGAGTAAAGGAAAGATCAATTGCTTCCTACACACCCCCTGAGGACCCTCAACCTAGGTATGTGTCCTGACCGGAGTCAAACCCATGACCCTTTGGTAAATGGGACGATGCTCCAACCAATTGAGCCACTTGGCTAGGGCTTAGAGAAAGTCTTTTAACAGCTATGATACTGGCTATTTGTTTTGTTTTATTATTTTTTATTATTTTTAAAATTGATTTCAGAAAGGGAGAGAGAAGCATCAATGATGATAGAGAATCATTGATCAGCTGCCTCCTGCACATCCCCCACTGGAGATCGAGCGCACAACCCAGGCATGTGCCCTTTATCAGAATCAAACCCAGGACCCTTCAGTCCGCAGGCTAATCCACTGAGTCAAACCAGCCAAGGCCTATTTGTTTTATTGTTTGTTTTTTCCCCTGTGGAGATCATGAGGGATATATCTTTTTTTATAGCTTTGTGGCTCACCGCTGTAATCACGCCTTTTTCACTAAAGAGCAAAAATAAATGAAAAAATTACTTGAGATTTATCAGTTCCCCACACATGCCCTCCCTTAGTCCCCAGTTACTAATCACTATACTTCAGGCTGAGAAATCGCCCCATGGTTTTGAAGGTATTGTGGCGGTTGGGAGTGAATATCCCCAGAAAGTGCCGTCCTCGCATGCACATTATTTTGAGATGAAAACAAAACCCAACAAACTCAAGAAGAGTTCGTTACCTCCCCTTTACCTGCCTAAAGAGATTCAGACAGAAAAACCTGCTTCAGGAAGGGAAATAA